CCTGCTCTCTATCACGGGGTGAGGCAGGTGTCAGTGCCAGTGAAGGAGCTGTGGATCCCTGACATCAGTGTGCATGAAATGTACGTTGACTGAATCCTTATTACTCTGCCTTTCTGTCCATCCCCTGATTCTTTGCCTGATTTACATGTCAATTCAACCGTTTAGAGCAAGGAATATGAACCCTGTTTCTGAGGCTGGTATATGTTCCAACTCTTCTGGTAATTACTCATTTATAACATGTTAGTACTCATTTGTAACAATTGAGCTGTCCAGTGACTGACTAAGCACTACAGAAGAAAAATAAGGAACAAGAAGAAAAGTCTCAGTTCTGAGTTTTTTGTAAGATAAGAATTCAAGAAAAAAATATTACAAACTTCAACTTTTTTTAAATGCACAAACATCACTATCGATGTTGGCACGATTCATTAAACATAACACCATTCAATGCTTCTTCTCACAAATGACAGAACTTTCCATCCAAAGTCCAGCTTCAAGGACACCAATCTCTGTGCTCCCACTGACTGAACAAGCCAAGCAACTCCAGCCCAATCTGGACACTGAATCTTTCACAGCACTCAACCCTTCCCAGACCTCCAACTTCCATCCGCTATTGACCCAAGATGATCTCACGCTCTTCGCATCCATTTCTCCATCTCCAACACCTGAATCCCTTCTTCCATTCGCCCAATCTTTCTACCTCCTGCTCTCCTTTTCCCCGATCCCATGCATTCTTGAGAATCTCCTGGCAGTCAGTCTTGTTACACTACTCTCCGTCTATGCCTATCTCTGTCACACCATTCAGGTTGCAACTACTCCAATAGCTAAATTGGCCTTTAGACTCATGTCTCTTTTCTAAACCACTAGAGCCTGACTTTTCCACATGATATGGAAAATAAGGTGTCATTCTGCCCTCCCTTATATTTTGGCCCATCCTGTTGTACCTCCATTTTGCTCCAGGACAACTGTGTCATCAGGGTTGCCCTTCATCGCACCCTCTGTGTTTATCCTGCCTGTCTTTCCTTTTCTTTCTCACTTCTTCAGCAATCACACCCAGATTTTTGCTCCTTCCCCCATGGGCTTTCAGTGTTTGTCAGGTCTGGGCTTCTCATAACTCCTGCTGCCTTTAAAGCGTTTCCCACTGGTATCTTACATGCGTCTGCTCCCGACTTTCTCCCCCAAACTACTTATCCCTGGCCCCAGATCTGTACCCTATGTCCCAGACTCCTGGATACAAAAGAAATAGCTTGCAGACCCTTGGTTTTGCAAAGTGTCTCCAATTCCACTATTACATTCTTCATCA